GGTTCGACTATGCAAGATGCAATCCGCGCGAGATGTTGCGAAATTGACTTTCAATTTTGCATTGGACGGCCTTGAATAGATAAACTGCCGATAGACTAAAAATGTCGAATCGCGGTCGAACAGAGAAGCAGGAAACGATACCTTGAAAGTTGTTGTCGAAGCGGTTACGAAAGAGAGGCTTTTAAATAAGATATTTTTCTCAGACTGGTCCATTTTTCTCCTCCTTTACCCCGGTTTTTGTTATTTATTCGACGAGCGACACGGGGGATCGAATAATACGATTCGAACTCTCGTTTGCGAAACTGCGAGCTTCTCTATTCCTTCGAACGATAACACACCTGTATCGCGTTGCCATCATCCGAGCAACTGTTGAAACTTCGCTCTCGTAGGTAGAAGGCTAAGTTGATCGTAAAGAATAAATCAAGCTAGTAATCGTTGCAGTAATAAATTCAAATTTATGTTTTATATTTTGATCGATCCACTTGTGTCTAATCTTATCCACTTGAGTCTCTGAGATAGATTGTAAACACGTACGGTTTAACCTCGTTTTCAAGATTGAAGTAAAAGTAAGAAATAAAGAAGAAGAAAAAACACTATGCTGTCGTTTCCAATCTCAATTGAACAACTTATTCGATAACAATTTTCGAACAATTTATTTACGATACATCCTTACGAATTGTTTAAAGATTTAAACAAAGGCATCTCACATATTTTCACGCAGAGAGAAACACAAAGGACCGATAATCGAAGCCGTACCGTTCGAACGAAAATCATAAGATTTGCATCTTAATAATCGAAAGTGTCCGATCCGAATGAATGGAAAACTGGTCTCGAACACGCGGCAACTAACTTATAACATGCGCACGTTGCATGCACGTTGCCGGTCTTTGTTCTGCTTTTCCTCTGAAGGAATTCCGCTAGAAATCTTTCCGATAGAGAAACAGGGCGCGGTGGCCATTTTTCCTTACTCATCATCATTATATATAACGTATATAATACGCACACATGTAATGGAGTATATAAAACTGTTGAAGCCGGTCGGAAATGGATCAGTAGCCGACCGTGGATCGCGAGGAAAATTCCTGGAAGAATAGCAAGGGAAGAAAAAGAAGATTCGTCTAAGGAGACAGCCATGAAGTTGCCGGTAAGCTCGGAAACTTTATTGTAGATCGTCGAGAGGGGTACCTGTTACGAGAAGAGAGAAAGAAAGAGAGAGAGAGAGAGAGAGAGAGAGAGAGAGAGAGGAATCCGTGCAGTAGTTCCTGATGAGAAAACTTTAATCTGTTAGCTCGTAATGCACTTTCGTGTCGTCCGTGAAATATGAACGGCTCCCCGTCTCTCTGACCAATGTTCCGTTGATATATAGAGCGGCACGGTGTTGGCTGGCAGTCGGATAATTGAAACGTATGGCCGCGTTTCTGTAACTTTGATCAAGATGGGTAATCCATTGATTCCGTTTAAATACGTCGGATTATTGTCACGGCACGGTTTTGATAATAACGTTGCGACGACGAGTGTACGACGACGGTGTAATTTCATCGAGGGGGAGGAACGTAATATGAGAATATTTTCGAGAATGTTTCCCAGGGAACAAAGATTTGTCACGCTTGGACATTTTTCATTAAACTTCTTCGCGAAGATCTCCATGATCTCGCGATAAAAATTCTCGTCCCCTATGAAAAACTCTATGAAGATTTTTATATCGTCTAAATTTCTCAAACGAACGATGATATCCTTCCTTCGATGAGTTTCACGATTTCGAATTTCTCCCTGGGAGGAATCATTCCCTGTACACTATGATGACGCGTTCATCGGAAAACTTTATCGAATCTCTCGAATATATTGTTCTCGAATACGTATACGCGTGGACAAGGAAACGAAGGATGGATCACGCGGTGGTTAAAAATCGGTTGTCCACATCGACGCGAAGAAAAAAATTGGTGGACGTTAGGTAACGGAATTGGTCGTTGGTTGGGTGCCATTTGCCACAGAATTGCGCGGATTGGATGGGTAATGTTCAAAGTTATTAACACGGGTGTGGTTACTATTACGGGGGAGGGGATAATGGACTTCTCGAGTGTTAAACTTGAGAGAGAAGGAAGTGATATATCGAGGGGCCTAAATTCCTCGGGTGTTGGGCAAATGGAAGGTCAAAGTTCAAACTCTGATTCATTTAAACGGCTGATAGATTCGATGAGCAATGGAAGCGAAGGATATAATTGTATAACTCCTTCCCGAATATTCGAGATACGATGTCGAAAGTGTATCGTGGAGAAATGGGAATGAAAATGGGAGTGAACGTACGGTGAAATGTATTATTATTGTCGAGCATTATTATGCTTTTGATCTTTCATTTCTTTTGATCAATGATATTTTGTTGCGCAATAACAAATGATTTTATTTGTCGAATGCATCATTCTGTTTACTTCTTTTATCGTAATAATATCAAATTTCCCGGGAATTATTCGCACGTGTCTAACCACTCCACGTGCCAGTGTTATCTCCTATCTAAAACTTTCCTATAAAAAAAAAAATTAAGTCTACAAGAAACGAACATTTCCATGTTCCATGATTATAATTGTATTCACTCGTGCTGACATTAACGAAAGATATCCAACAAGATATCGTTAACAAGAAAGGGACATTTATGGGGCGGAGATTAGACGAAAAGCATTTCAACCGTTATTGTGCTACAACAGCCCACGTTGAAACGTTGGTTGAAAACTCGTCCCAATAAATCACGCCTCGTTCATTTTTCCAGCTTTTGCAGCTCGCGATATCGATTCTCTTAACTGTTCCCGCCAGCAGCTGGCCTTATCGCGGCACGGTGGGCGACAGAGAATCGACGGTGTTGGTCGGCCCAGTTTACGGACTGTCACCTGTGAGCCTGTTGCCCGCAAAACCGGAGCTTTTGGGGACGGTGATCCGTGGCCCTGCGACGGGAACCACGTTCGTCGAGGGATCCTCCTCCGGCCCCGTCACCATCGTGTCCCCTGGAACGCCCGCAAACGCACCCCGAACAACGCCATCCCCGGCGCAAAGTAATCCACCTTCAACGATAAAAGATTCGAGAATACGATTTCGCGGAAGTTTGGAGGGAGGGAGGAAATTCCATGGACGAATCCATCGACGGATTCAACGCTAATCGATTCGTTTAACCGAATCGACGACAGTATCGGCTCTTACACCGCGTACCTTTTATAGAGATACATAAAGCCAAGAATTTATGGGCAACCGGGTTTCTCCGCGGTATATTACGAATTTAATAGGTTCATAAATTCAAGCGCGTTCGAGGGAGCACGCGTAGCAGCCGAGAGCCAGATTAACATAAATTCGCTCTTTTACCTTTTTCCGCTTTTAATTGCCTTTCTACTTTGTTGGAATAAGACATATATTCGTGTTGCATACGTATTACGCGCATATATACAAGGAAAATATACGTGTATCGAGATTATCAAAAGATTCTCTCTCGTTTAATTGATATAGAGAATTTCCAATCGTTTTAAAATTAAATTATCCGAAATTATTCTTTTATAAAAATACGTTAAATCACGCTTTGACTATTTCTCGCGGTACATCTATATCGTTGCATTTTTTCCAGCCGTAGTCTCAGGTGTGCCGGAAGATACGGTGCTCATTAAAGGAGCCTCGGCTGGGGCGGTGACGTTGGTGGCCCCGTCTGACAATTCTATCGCCAATAACGCGGCGTCAGCCCAGGCTGAGGCGAAGAAAGGCGGCGGTGCAGCAGCGTCAGCTGCTGTTGCAATCGAAAATGCAGAAGAATCGTCGTCGGCGCCAATTAAGGAAACAATAGGCGTAGCGTCGGCGAACGCGGTGATAGGTCCCTCGACCGGGCCCATAATCATCGCCGGTCCAACTGCTCCCCCCCTACCTATTCCCGTTTCCACTTCCGAACAGCCAGTTGCTGCCACCGTTGTTGAGACGAATTCCGATTCTCTCAGCGTGACCTCCACCGCAACCGCCAATCTGTCAGTTTCCGGCTCGATAACGACTGTTGAACGAGCCGAGGATGAAGGGCCCGGTCTAGCGACAGGTGAGCAATTTTTCACAGCGATAGAGCATAGAGATGAAGTTGAATCTCGAGAGGAAAAACAGAATATTTCCTAAACAATGGTACATAAAATATTTTTATTCGTTACATTGCTCTTTCTATCGATAAATTTCTCAAAACTTTTTGTTAATTGAAAATATCGTTTCTCGTTAGACAGAAGAGTAAAAGAATCGAATCTCTATCCTTGTTGCATGGAACACGATAACATGATTGTTACATAAAACGGTTCAAAAAATCTCAAATATACTGTGCTATATATTTAGTTTTTATTTAATTTGCACAAAAAGTATCGAGAATGAATCTGCTCCTTTTTTTGGAAAGAAAATAATCAATCTTTAAATTCAATCGAAAATAAATCAAACCTCATTTACATCTTATTTACATTTCTTAGATGCAGACATTCCAAGATCAACAATAATTGAATTACCGTTCCCTCGATATCGATACCCATGTATAATCGATCTATTTACAGATAGCACGGAATCAAGGAAGATCGAGGGTACGGCATCAAGCACGAGCAGCGTGACGACCACTTCCGGGAGCATCACTACAGCATCCGCAACAGCGAGAGTTAATTTGATTTCACCAGCGTCTACGATCGCGGTCGGTCCCTTAAGTAACGTCGTCGTATCGCCGACGAAAGCATCGTCCGCGATAGTTTCCGGCCCCTTGGGTACCGTTTCCACCGCAAGTGTATCTTCGCTGGATCAGATCAAGACGCCTCTTCATCCATTGTAGAGCGAATCTCGCGCATCCTCCCTTTACCTGGTACCTTGGTCTCGACTTGTCGAGTCGATCGACAAAATACCCACGATCAATTATTCCTATAGATCGTTTCTAAGGTGAGCGTTTTACATAGGCGCGATTTTTCATAGGCAAATGCACGCGTTGACATTGCGTTGGCGATCGACGAGGGGGAAGGATAACAAGGAGATCGACTTTGCATGCGACTTGGCATTGATGGCCGCTCCATTCAATACAATGGAGAGATTATTATTTTTTTCTATCTTGTCCGAGCATAGTACTACGGATTTTTGTGTTGTAATAAAGACTTGCTAATATGGATAAGAAGCCTGATGTCCGTTTTTGTTTCTCTTCTTCCGAATATTTTCAAGGGGGAATTGGGTCAACAACGTTGATGCAATGTTGCAGTTACACTGCGTTTCAATTTTTAATAAGAAAGGGTAAAACGTGTTTTGTACATTGTTGTATAGGAAAATAGTATAACAGTTTGACGAAGTTTATATTTATCACGTTTAGTTATCCGCGATTGGAGCAATCCGGTGGATCTGGCGCAATCTCCAGTTTGGGTTAAACAAGCCGAACCTTAACCATACGATTAAGCTTGAAACTCAATTATTGCTGTGCCGCTTTCACTAGGTAAACGAACTTATCGAATCGTATCGCTATGAACTTTTGCCATATGTAGTTGTACTCGTCTGTTTTTCCAGGCTTTTTCTTGGTCATTGTGATCGACGTATTTTGAATGATCGAAAGCTGGAAATTTTTTTTTTTATTACTTTTAAAAAACTTTAAGAATGCAAGCTACGTTGTAAGAGGATTCGAAGAATATCGTATAATTTATTCATTTATTCAATTTTTTAAACGAGGCAAAATTATAATTAATGAAGATTATTTGAAAAATTGTTGTTTTCCGTGGAAAAGAAAAATGCAAGAGGTATAACAAGTTGAGATCAATTTTAAATTTCCATAATCATTTGCAACTACGTATAAGACGTTAATAAAGTTTTATAAATGTTTCCTCTTAATTATATATTATATTTTTTTATCGCGAAAGAAACGGTAAAACTTCTTTGATTACCTAACATATTTACTATAAACTAAAAGAATTTGCAAATTAGTATTACCTACAATCTAATTAATTATTCATAATCTTGCTCGTTTCAAATGTAAAAATATGTTTCTAGATCAGGTAAGAAAACTTTCATTAATATTTATAAATATAGAATAGTTAACACCGTCGAAGAATAATTAGATTTTTAAAATAAAATCTTATTTTTCTTCGATATATCATCCTCAATATTTCCCTCTAACACGAATTTTTTTTTAACTTCGCTTGCAGCCGATGCTGAACATGACTTTGGAAAAAGTAATTCTTTGAATCTCGAAAAAATTGAAATTGCAGATAAAGATTGAAAAGTGGAAAAGAAATTATATCTTCGAAATAATGTTTCTCAATTAACTTTTAAAGAGGAATATTACAAACATTTTACGCTATCGCGTATAAAATTATATTTATCATCAATTATGAGATATAACGCGATAACAAATATTGGAATCGACGTAAATCAAGAACAAGTCGATTCGTTTCGTTTAAATTGCAAATTCTCCCGATATTGAAACTTTTCGCATAACCATTACGCCTCTTTAATTTCAATTTATCACTTGGTCCATCTTCCACGAAGTGAACGACACATTTTATAGCTAGAAACTCGAGAAGTGCAAAATTTATATACTTCTAGACAGAATGGCGAAAAATAAAATAAGAAAAATTAATTTTCTTCCAATCAAATGACAAATAAAAAAACTTCATCAGAAGATATTACTGTTCAAATATTACTTTTATAAGTACTTTATTATTCAAATAATTCGAATGAAAATGGACAACGATAATACCATGCATACTTTTTTTTCATTTTTCACGATTTATTGGAACATATGAATAGTCATGATTCGATACAACACGTATGGGAATTGGAGAAAAATTCGTAAGACGGAAATAAAATAAAACAGAAATATATCGAATTGGATATTGCCACGCGCTGACAACGCGATTTTATAATATTTGGAGTAACAAAAAGACACGCGTTCTCGTGTGATTTTTCGAAAATAAACAAGCAGTTTCGTGGAATGAATCAAAATAAAAGATTTATCGAACGGTTAAATGAAAATATATTTTTTCTGTTCGAATATTTTTTAAACGACGCATCGTTGGAATATTGATTTCATAGCTGAATATTATTATTTTATCTTGAAGTAAATGTCTGTCGGGTAAAGATATCTTAAAAAGAAATTCATTCAAAAATTTATATTTTTTTAAATAAATTCTTCACTTTTTCAATAAAGTTTCAATAAATTTTTCGAGATACAATAGAATTTTACATTGAAAAATATTAAAATATTTTCTTACAAAAAAATTCTCATTCAAAATATGAAAACATATTGAAATTTCAGGAATTAATCTCATTCTTTTGAAGAGATTTTTTTCGTCAAAAAAACTTTCTATTCAAATAAAAATTTTCCAAAGTGAAATTCACTTTGGAAAATTAATTTAATTTAATTTTTCATGAGCAATTTTTCACTATGCATAACGACGACATTCATTCGAAATATCATTTCACTTCACCGTGATTATTACATTAAAATTCTATATTCGAAATGGTAAATGATCGCACCATTAAACGTATTTTTCCACGGTTTTCTCTATTGAAAAGTGTGAAAATGAATCGCGCATGAAAGCGTTTGTGAATCGAGATTACCATGACCCTGATATGAAATTCTACGATAGCCTAGAGGAACATCATGACTCGTTGCAATTTTACCATTCTCCTCCCCTCGTTAAATGAATGTTACACCTAGGATCATGGCCGGCTAAGTGAACAATACCTGATTCAACGAACGACATAAACATCCCTTACAGAATGGTGTCGTTTAATGAAACGAACGTAACAATGAGATCCTTTTGCCTCGCGTAACTATTTTCCATTTTATCCATTCTACCCTTTTCTCCTATAAATCAGCCAGCTCTTCCCTCGTTACATTGTGTGATCACGAACGATTGTTGAGGAGGAAAATTGAAATGTTAATTGAAACGAATGTTTGATGGATGGAACAAATATGGAAGACATTTCGATGAATTTTTTTGGTAATGGTATTAATGATCAAGAAAATGAAAATGAAAGAAAGACGATCTTGTCTGATCTTTTTTATCATCTTGAACTCTTTAGTTAAAAGGAAAAGATATTATAGAACATTCTGCTCTAAGAGATTCAATCTTAGAATTAAATAGACAATTCATTCTTCCACTTTGTTAAATCTTATTTCATTTCAAAATATAAGAGCAGTTTTTTCATTCCATGAATAACTTAGAAGTAACTTTTAAAAATAATTTAAAGACAATTTAAGATTAAATTTGTCTATTCTTTATTTGGTAATGCATCTTCTTATATTACTTTCTTGAAAAAAATTTTTCCATCCAATCAATTTCTCGTTATCAGATTATCATTTACTTTTCAAACTGGAAAAAGAACATACATATTACACTCACATTATTTCTTTCGTTGTGTGAGTAACGAATTCTCTACGCTCCTCCATAAATTTTATAAAATCTAACATACTTCCTTGTTCCAGATTCGACTCCTCTCTCAACGCGGAACTCATCGAAATCTATTATTCATCGAAACCAAAAAAAAAAAAAGAAAGAAAAAGCCAATTATATGACACGTTGAATCGAAACAGTAACGTCACTCCTCGAAAACGTTTATCGGTGGAACGAGGTGACAATAGCGCGACGGAAATTAATTCGACATTGCCAGTCGACACCAGTTTCATCCCCTCTTCTTCTCGTCCAATCGGCATGTTGCATCGTGCGAATACGGGACGGTGAGGGAGGACAATGAATCCCGATAAACGGGGCAATTTTACGGTAACACGGAGAAAAACATCGGGGGCGCTGCACGCTGGTAATTCTCGTAATGGCGTAACACGCTCCAGGGGGAGGGTTGGATTCACTTTGCACTAATGCACACCGATCTACGACAAAGCCAGCCTCGAGGATCCCGAAAATAATAATAGGGTTTTTATCGCGTTAAAGTAAGCTTTGTTGCAATTAATACAATAATATTCAGCACACGAACGTGATGTTTCATCGATAGTGATGGAAGTGTGCTTATATATCGTAATAAAATATTCATTTCATTCTGTGACGTTTGATCCTCGTGGCATTTATTTGCCTCGTTTTGAAACAAGGTTTTTCAATTGTAAATGGTTTCATATCGGAATGAAAGTTATTCAATTATGAATAAGTCTTTTTTAGTTAGTAATTAAAAGAGGGTGAGAGAAGTATATTTTTATATTTAGAATTATAAATGAGAAACGAAACGATAATAATTTTATTATCCATTTTTCGGCTCGTAATTGTTTAAAAAAACAGTTTGCTTGGTTTACAAATATATTTTATAAAAACGTGAAAATATAATGTTACTTTTAAAATATTAAAAATAATTTGATTTAACATTTTATGGTGGGATATGATTGCTGCCATTACTATACATCGATATTAATGACCGAAGTTCAGTGTTCGATACTTAACGATTGGACAACCATATTAATGGACCAAGTTTTCGAAACGATAGGAACAAATTTAAGAGGGGAATAAATTTTGACAGTGAGAAAAGAGGATTTTGATGGATGGGAATTTTTCGATACGGAATGGAATTTCTAAAGGAAACCAGAAAGAGGAGCGTGATTTCCGCCTGACGTGATGCACCTCGGTGAATGCAGTGAATTTCTAAGTATCCTTCTCTCTTTCTCTATTATCGCTGCGATAATAAATCGCTGTCGAATCGACTACGAGAAACGACTTTAAACATCATTGTTCTCTTCGAAACGAGGATATTCTCTACGATTGACAACTTCTGTCCATACCCTGGGAAACTTCTTAAAACAAGGTACGGTTAATTATCAATTCGATCTAGAAATAGACATACTTATACATACCAATCTTCAATATTTAATTCGTAATTTATATCTAATATATAATAACGTTTTAGCCAATGGATCGAAAATACAGCATCGTTTGCCGCTAGATGTCTCTGTTACGAATACAAGAATCACAAGTATCACTTTTCTTTCTATTTCTCGTGCTCAACGATATATATTAAACGTAATTAACACGACACCTTGGCTGACTCGTGTCCACGCTATCTACCCTTTGAAACTCGTTAACTAGTTTTTTCTTTCTTTCTTTTCTTTTTTTTTATCACGAGATACTATCGACTCGGGTCACGGCCGAGAGACACGAGCATTATCTTCATCGACCGCGGGGAGATT